ACTAGAGCAAGAGTGGTTTGCAAAGAGTTCCAAAAGTAAACATAAATGTTTAGTTCAGCATATTACTGATAGAATTCATACCCTGGATTAAGAAACACATATTTATATAAATTTTCTCTCTCCCTCCTTCCTGTTGAATGATTTTGTGTTCGAGTAACAGGTAATTGTGCAAGTATTTTTATTTATTTGTTTGTTTGCTTATTCATTTATTTATATTTGAGACAGAGTCTTGCTCTGTCGCCCAGGCTGGAGTGCACTGGTGCGATCTCAGCTCACTGCAGCCTCTGCCTCCTGGGTTCAAGTGATTCCCGTGCCTCAGCCTCCTGAGTAGCTGGGATTACAGGCGTGCGCTAGCACGCCCAGCTATTTTTCTATTTTTAGTCGAGAAGGGGTTTCACCACATTGGCCAGGCTGGTCTCAAACTCCTGACCTCAAGTGTTCCATCTGCCTCGGTCTCCCAGAGTGCTGGGATTACAGGTATGAGCCCTCGTGCCCGGCCCCATTTGTGCATGTATTTATACTTAATATTGAGTGTACATTATTATGTTATTATTTACTATTTATATATCACATAACCTTGAAGTATTAAGATCTTTTCTATCAAGTAGAAAAGAAAAATACAAAACAGCAGGAATAAATATGTGATCTCTGGCTTTTTAACTTCTTTACAGAACTTATAATTATTTCTAAATGTTATTTGTTTAATTCTTTCTAAAAATGAAGATGGCTGAAATATTAGCCAAAAGATTACATTTACTACACAAAATGATGTTAGATAATGTAAAAATAATTGACAAGTCCACTGTTCTATATTTCCAGTACTTTTGGTAGACCAAGTTTTATCAAAGCAGAAAGTTAGTTTCATTCTCTACACTTCTGATCATATGAATAACACAGTGGCTAGCAGATAGTATGGCTCTATTTATCTGTCCATTTTGGCTAAACCCCGGAATCTATTGGGAAGTTTATATTCATATTTAGTAATTACCAATGAGGCCACGGGATCTAGCAGCTTTGTGTTCTTTTCTCCTGATTTAGTATGAATTTTTCCTCATGAAGCATTCGTTTTTAATTTACTTATGACTCTGATTTTCTGCAGATTTAAGTAGGTAGAAAAAGCACAGTGAAGTAATGTCCTTATGTATATTTAAACACGTACATTGAATTAAATACATATAAATGACAATGAAAAGGAGAGATTGCAAACCTTTTCCTACGCAAGGTTCTACACTTGTTGTTAGGTCCGACCAATCAAATTGGCACAGTAAGAGGTGAGATTTTTGTTTACTCTTCATCTATTGCATTGAGTCACCATTACTACTTCATTAGTTTAAGGTGTTTTTCTAATATTGGGCTTGTACATAAATATCTGTTTTAAATATCTTCAAGAAATTTTTAAAAACTATATGCAAGGGAGAGAAAGATGTCAATGGTTTGCCAAATACTAACTCCCAACAGAGAAATGGAAACTATAAAGAAAAAAAATCAAAAGGAACTATAATTCAAAAGAACAATCAAAATGAAAAATTCACTAGATGTGCCTGACAGCAGATTTGAGATTGCAGAAAAATTAATTGGTTAATTTGAAGATAAGTAATAGCAATTATGCAATTTGAAGAATATACAGGAAACAAAATTAAAGTTAGCTGAGCTTCAGGGACTTGTGGCACAATGCCAGGCATACCAATTTATGTGTAATCATGGTCCCAAAAGGACATAAGGGAGACAAAGGGAAAAGAAAATGGAATAAATAATGATCAAGACTTTCCTGAAATTGATAGAAAGAAAGTTAATCTGAAGATCTAGGAGCTCAACAAACTTTAAGTATAATAAACACAAAAGATGTTCACCTAGGTACATCATAACCAAACCCATGAAAGCCAGAGACAAACAGATAATCTTGAAAGCAACAAGAGAAACTTGACTCATGAGATAGAAGAGTACATTACATTTTGTTAAATTTTATTGTGTATGTTTCATGAATTTATAAAATTTTGATGACTTTGCTTTTGAAAAAACGAATGGCAGAAGGCAATGGAATGACATTCTCAAATGCTGAAAGCAAAAATAGGTTATATCCAACAAAACTATCCAATACTGATAAAATTAATTTATTTACTTAATCTTATTGAGCCAGTTATTGCTATAAGCATATATAGAAGAGTGCTTCCACTTTCCCCCAAAATGTTCCATTTTCTTGAGATTTATATCCTTTTGAGGATGCAATCAATCAAGCAAACGTATGACAGGTACTGAAAAGTGTTATGAATCTATTTAAAAAGCATTCTGGTAGATTTTAGCTGCTCTTTCCACCAAAAAAATATGGTAATTGTGGGATAATAGGTATGTTCATTTGCTTCACTGTATCAAACCTTTTACTTTCTCTTACATATACCATGATGTCATGTTTGATACCTTAAAAGCATATGTTAAAATTTATTTTTAAAGAAATGAATTTCAGGAAGGCAAAAAATACCAATAGGCTAGCATGGCTAAAGCTCAGGAAGGATGAGGGAAAATGGAGGGGAAGGGGACTGAAGAATTGGTTAAAAAAATCACCCTGGGGCCTTGCATGTTCTGGAGGCACTCTGGTTTCTGCAGTGATTGCATTGAGAGCAGAAGAGTTACACAGTCTCATTTCAACATGAACATTTCTTAAAATCATCAGTTAATCATAGTATGGTACATTCAGGATACCATTTGCCTGTAATATTAAAAAACAAAATAGTATATAAATGCATAACATTATAAGATAATGGTAGGAAAAAATGTAAATCAACTTATATTAGTGTTTACTGCTTAGAATGAAGGTAAGAAAGGAGAGTGGTGAAAGATATATGAAGAAGGCTTCAAATATATTTGTAATATTTTAATATCTTAAAATCAGATAAAAAGTGACAAATTATTGGCATTAATTATTGAATAATGGTGGTCTCCATTTTCTCTGAAGTGTTTCATACACAGAATTGTTTATGAAATAGGGAATATAGGCCTAACCAAAAGTTTCTTACAGGGGCCTTGACATAGTTTGGATTCGTGTCCCCACCCAAATCTCCGGTGGTAATCTCCAGTGTTGGAGGTAGGGCCTGGTGATAGATGATTGGATCATGGAGACGTATCCTTCATGAATGGCTTGGCACCATCCCCTCAGTCCTGTTCTTATAGTGAGTGAGTGAGTTATCACAAGATCTGGTTGTTTAAAAGTGTGTAGCACCGTCTCCTGCCTCTTCCTCCTGCTCCAGCCACATAAGATGCGCCTGCTTCCCTTTCACCTTCCACCATGGGTATAAGTCTCCTGAGTCCTCCCCAGAAGCAGAAGCTGCTATGCTTCCTTAACAGCCTGCAGAAACGTGAGCCAAGTCAACCTCTTTTCTACATAAATGAACCAGTCTCAGGTATTTCTTTATAGCAATGTGAGAGAACAAATGTTATCGTAATTATTCAACTGCAATACTTTATGATTTATTGGTCTTTTTTATTGACAATCCAGGTAAAGAGCAGACTGAATCAAAGTTAGAAAATAGCACCTACCAAAGTCAGGTTGTGTAATAGATTTGTTACGTTTGTCTGCCTCTTATCTCATAGGCACCTATTAGGTTGAAATTACCATTCTTAGTTTATGAAAATGATAAAATAATTGGCCGTCCACACTGTCTGACTTAGTAGAAGGATTGCCGTGGTTGAGTGTTTCCTCCTTCCTGAGAGCTGGTTTCCTCTTCATTTGAAAGCACATTGTTCTGTATCAAACAAATGTGGGGGGAAGTCCTATTAAACTTAAAAGTGACTCTAAGAAGCTGAAATTTATATTATGGACAACATGAAAATCCAAGCTTGTTCTAGTATTATCAAATCTCTTTTTTTTTTTTTTTTTTTTTTTGAGACGGAGTCTCGCTCTGTCGCCCAGGCTGGAGTGCAGTGGCCGGATCTCAGCTCACTGCAAGCTCCGCCTCCCAGGTTCACACCATTCTCCTGCCTCAGCCTCCCGAGTAGCTGAGACTACAGGCGCCTGCCACCTCGCCCGGCTAGTTTTTTGTATTTTTTAGTAGAGACGGGGTTTCATCATGTTAGCCAGGATGGTCTTGATCTCCTGACCTCGTGATCCACCCGTCTCGGCCTCCCAAAGTGCTGGGATTACAGGCTTGAGCCACCGCGCCCGGCTATCAAATCTCTTTATAGATGAAGTGCACTAGATTTACAGTTTGCCTTTCAAACATATAAAAAATGTTTATAAACGCATTAAATCGGTGCAAAATATAAGATTAACTTTTGTTGGCCAAATATTTCATAAATCCGGATCAAACTGCTTATCCAAACTGTTGATGTTATATTTATTCTCATGAATTCTTTGAGACAAAGACCAAAGTTTCAGAGGCTTTCAGACACAAGAGGAAAAGAAGCAGTAAAAGGTCACCGGAGGCCAGAAAGAGAGAGACTAAAAACAGTTTGCTAAAGAAGAAGTTCATTTAAACACAGTAATTTGAAAACAGACACAACAGGAAACAATCTATATTATCTTTTATTTGCTCAATCTTTTTGGTTTTACTGCTGCCAATTCCACCCCTGCAGTTCAGACCTGGCAGCAGAATCTTTCCTGCTTTCCAGCAGCTTTTCACGAGCTGATAAGGAACCAAACTCAAAGGAAAAAAAAAAAAAGAGAGCGAGTGAGGGGGGGAGAGAGAGAGAGAAAGGAATAGACTAAAATCTCTGACTTGGCCTTTTTTCTCTATGTGTATCTTATTTCTTGCAGCTTCACCCTGAACATGGTAAGGTTCGACAACGGAAATTTGAGCCTGACTTAGAAATGCCTCTGTCTGTGACTACCGTAAACCTTCGCCTTAATGGTTTTATTCATCCGTATAAAGTCCTCAGCAGTATTGTGTATATCTTGAAAACATAATGACTGTTAGTCAATTCATTCTCATGTCCCTCTGAAGGTGAAATCCTTTGATATGTAGAGCTGCAGAACTGTGTAGTTGCACCAGGAGAAATAGCATTCCAACTATGATCTTACATAGTGCAGTCATTTATTTAAGTAAAGCCATCTGTCATATTTTGGGTGGAAAATTACATAGTCAAGATGGATTTTTTTTTGAAAAAAACATACTGTTGCCATGCTTTGGTTGACAGGGGTTTATTCTTCAAATTGAAACAGTAATTCTTACTCATCTTCAATGTTATTTTTGTAAAATAAATCCCAATGAACTGCTGCGTTTTAAATACCTCATTGTGATTCACACCAGTGACATTCAGGGCATCTTCCTGAAGCATCAGTTCTGGAATAGATTGATCAATATGTCAATTTGGATCGAGTTCTTTATTGCAGTTGTTTCAAAATTAAAGAACTGTCTTTTCCAAAGTCATTAGTTTGCCAAGTGAGTTGAAGTAATGGCTCTCCGCCATCCTTTCTAACCTTAGTTTGTTGAAAATGTTTTCTAATGACATTCCCTGAACATTTTCCAAAACAAGTTGTCCAAGGTTTTCTTCATGTCCCTAATATGTTTCCCTGTGATAGATTTGGGTCCTTTGTTCTGCACTTCAATTTCTCCTTCAGCTAAAATTTATCTTCCCATTAGCAAGTTGTTACTTTATAGTCTGCTTTGTGGGTGATAAACCCTACAAGAGAACATTAGACTTTGAAAGACCCTTGGTTTCCCTCCAGAGCTTTTCTGAGAGCAAAAGGGACATTTTGAATATTGACCATGACCAGCATGGGGCATTGTCTTCTAAACACCCTGAATGGCATAGACAGTTTCAAATACTCCAAAAAGAGAGAGAGAAAAAACAAATGAATTAAATTTTATGCATATGTTTATTTTCCAAGGTAGAATTAGGATTCAACCGTTTCTAGGACTGTGGGTTAAATTTTAGGGCATGGGTTTCTGAGGAAGTTGATAAGACCCAGAGTATTTGGCATCAACAGATGATGTAAGTAGCCTACAGATAAATCTGGGGAGAGTTTAATAACAAAGCATATTTTCCTAAGAGATTGTTCACTTTTTAAATGCTTATCTCACCAGTTTAAAATCAGGTAAAATTTTCATGTCATTTAAAGTGATTTTTAAATGCAGCATCATCTTATCTTGGTGAAATATATTCTGAGGATTCAATTGTCTAAATACTCCAAGAACAACTAGGATTTAAAATCTCATGCTGCAGTTAGGCGTTGTTGTTCCCCCCTGTAGCTCTAAGGTTAGTTACATGTCAGCTTCTCTTATTTGAACCAACTTTTGGAGTAATGCTCTCCTAAAAGCAAAACTTACCTCCAGGACCATAGGCATTAAGAATCAACAAAGCATCAAAAAACTATATGTGTGACCTTATTTTTATAGTGTTATGTCATTTGTCTTCTTTAATATGCTTCTTGTTTATCTGCTCCCTTTAATTCTTGTTCAAAATCTAGTAAAGTTTGATCTCAACCACACAAAAGAACTCATGTAGAAATTAAAACAATTCAGTGAGCAAAAGTATTTGATAGAAATTGATATAAATGAAACCAATTTTAATTAGGTACTTGAATCCATCACTCTTATTGTTATACAAAGTATATAGAAAAAATAAGTGAAGGCACATTTTATTGAATTTTCCTTTTGTTTTGTTTTTATTTTCTTAATATATTTTTTGGTTCTTGTTCTGGCTTCTTGTGTTGTTCTCTAAATGTATTCGTTTTTTAATCTTTGTTAATTTCTAGCCAATGTCTCTTAAGCTTTGTAGTTTCCACTGAGTATACTCCTGCCTCACAAACACAAACACCATTTTATCCCCTTTTTGATGTTAATACAGATTAACATAAAGTTTAGAAATGATGAAGTACATACTCATTGGCCCAAAGATAATGCAATACTTTTCTATTACCCATACTTCTTGAACTAAGAATATTTAACTAGTTTATTGTGCCCATGGGGCTTGTGCTGTATTATTAACCACACCATCACAATTCAGTGTCACAGTTTTTGAAGACCACCTCCATTTCTTCAAATTTATTACTGGGATTGATTTCCCTACGAGTCTTGTTTCATCAGATATGAGGGTTTTCGTTTGTTTGTTTGTTTGTTTGTTTAACTCGTCAAGGGTTTTATTCCTTTGGACATTTTGAATGAAGACGATATTCACTGAGGGCATTAGAGGGTCTTAAGTTGTAGGAAAATCTAACCAGTCGCCCTGTAGAATAATTAGCCTTCCATCTGGTTTGGCACGGAAAAGCATGAGCCCACATAGGGGAAGGGAAGAAACTTCGGGCACTTCAGGTATATTGTGATAGTTATTTTTGCAGTTTGTATTTTTTCCAGTGCAAGGGAAAACAAAAATCTTTCTTTCATTTATGTATTGTCTAAAATTGTGTCATTATTCTTTCATTTGTGTATTGTCTAAAAGTGTATCATCATTGATGAGATAGGTGTGCCATATTTTATATTAATTGTTTTAATTGGTTGCACTAAACCTGCTGGGAGAACTGAAGTATAGAGTTAAGGTGATGATTGTCTCTGATAAAACTTAAGTCATTGGATTAGTAGGCTAAGTCAGAAGTGCAAATGCTTAATCAATAAAGAGGAAAAGTCTGGTAAAAAGGTCATAAACACTAGCATGAAACTCACAGATACTCTTATTCCAAAGGTTTTGAGCAGAAGTTATCTACTTCGTACTGCCATTGGCCTGTTTGAAGATCTTGGCATTTCCTGGCAGATTTACTAGATCATCTTACTAACCTGTACAACTTCAGTTAAAGATCTTTGTTAAAATAGAGCTTTCTAGTTCCGCTAAGATTCCTTCTATTTGTTCAAAAGTTCGGAGTGACTAGGTGAGTGAAGTTTCTGAAGAACAGCAAACCCTAGAATAATTCAAGAATAACTATTCCGGCCGGGAGCAATGGCTCACGCCTATAATCCCAGCACTTTGGGGTGCCAAGGCAGGCAGATCACCTGAGGTCAGGAGTTCAAGACCAGCCTGGCCAACATGGTGAAACCCCATCTCTACTAAAAATACAAAAATTAGCTGGGTGTGGTGGCAGGTGCCTGTAATCCCAGCTACTCGGGAGGCTGAGGCAGAAGAATAGCTTGAACCTGGGAGGCAGAGGTTGCAGTGAGCCGAGATCATGCCATTGCACTCTAGCCTGGGGGACAAGAGTGAGACTTCGTCTCAAAATAATAATAATAATAACTATTCCAGTTAACTATGTTCCCATTTGACTGGATAGAAAAGTTGCAATGTCCCAGACAGGAAAGACAAACTTCATGTATGTGTGTGTGTGTGTGTGTGTGTGTGTGTGTGTGTGTGTGTGTGTATGTATTTATTTATAGCTCTGTGGATGCTATGACTTTTTTGAAAGGAAAATGATTCAAACCATCCACAAAGTATGCATACTATTTTTAGTACATATTTATAGTCCACAAAAAGAACCAATTGTATGAAATCTATTTGTAGATAGATGCTCAGAGATTCCTTAAGGGCAGGGTTCCTGTTCATCTCACTTTTATTATTTTCCCATAAGTGTATTAGTTACAGGGCTGGGCGCTGTGGCTCTCACCTGTAATCCCAGCACTTTGGGAGGCCGAGGTGGGTGGATCATTTGAGGTCAGGATTTCAAGACCAGCCTGGCCAATATGGTAAAAACCTGCCTTCACTAAAAGCACATAAATTAGCTGGGCGTGGTGGTGCGCACCTGTAATCCCAGCTGCTCAGGAGGCTGAGCCAGGAGAATTGCTTGAACCTGGGAGGCGCAGGTTGCAGTGAGCAGAGATCACACCGCTGCACTCCACTCCAGCCTGGGCGACAGAGCAAGACTTCCTTTCAAAAAAAAAAAAAAAAAAAAAATTACATTAGCTACAGAGAAGGCAAGAATTACCCATCCTCTGCTATTCAAAAAATGTTTTCCCACCCATGTTTATTTAATATTACAGCCAATTTACCACTACTGTGATGGTTTCCTTCATGGAGGATTTTGGCTAGTAAATTTGAGAGGTTTTTCGTTTGTTTTTTTCTGGTGCTACCTAATAACCATTATGGTTGGTGCCAAGTCTTGTCTTCATGGATCTTATAGCTCAATTATTCCAGGGCTTTTCCTAAGAATTCACAAAGCCACATTTTTGTGCCCAAAACAGAAGATGTTAATTTCTCCATGGAAATGTTGATAAATTTTTTGTTATTATTGGTCTGTAAAAAGTCAAAGCAGACTGTTTGGTGGAGCAAACTACTGTAACATTTCTATAGTCTTTCTAAGGTATACATAATGTATTTTAATGATATTTTCATAGTATCTGCAGTATGCTACCTTGTATTGTACCTTTTATTGTGAGTCTTAATTTAACAACAGCAATTACTGAAGATAGAAAAAAATACTTCACATTTGTTTTTCATTTTTAAAGAGTGTCTGCGAAGGTTAAAAGACCTCTTTATTTCTATGCTATCTCAAATAATGCATTATTCTAAAAATGTACTGTCGTTACTATATATATTTACCCTGTTAGTAATCTGACATGCCCTAGAATGGACCACATTTGCCATTTGAACGTTTTTGGCTTCCATTTTTGTTTTCGTTTTTTTTTTTTTTTTTTTTTTTTTTTTTTTTTTTTGTGGAACTTACAAGAGACTAGATATTGCATACCATCCTCGTATCCTTTTTTATTTTTAAGCTTAGAACCATGAACAAAAAACGTCCAGGCAGGATATGGTGTAAGAGCATTCCAAAAAACAGTTCATTGCCATTCCCAGAACACGCATGAACTAAAAACCAGTATTCTATACTGGATAAATGTTATAAAGTTGCTCCTTTAAGGGTGTTATGCAACTGGATGGTCTTAAGAAGAATACAACACCAATTCATAAGAAGTTAATCAACTAGTAGAAAACTGTTGGTGTTTTCCTTTAGCAATAGATATTCACTCTATGTAGTAACATGAGATTTAATGATCCTTATACAAGATCTGAAGGTGGTGTGACTAATTTATTTGAGATCTATAATTGCTCTGAGGCTGAGTCTCAGCCTTGGCCTGCTGTTGAACATAGCCTAAATGTTTATACACATACGGAAAGAAAGATGTATGATTGTATTAGTTTCCTAGGGCTGTGGCAACAAACTACCACAAACAGAGGCTTAAGACAAAGACATTTATTCTCTCATGGTTCTAGGGTCTAGAAGTCCAAAATCGTGTTAGCCAAGCTGGTTCTTTCCAGTGGCTCTGACCGAGTATTCCACACCTGTCACCTGGCTCTCGGTGGTTGCTTTCAGTCCTTGGCATGCCTTGGCTTATAGCTGCATCACTGCAATCTCCTCCTTCATTTGCACATGGCGTTCCCCTCTCTGCATCACTGCATATCCTCTCCTCTTTTTATAAGGAGTCAGTTATCAGATTTAGGGTGGACCCAAATCCAATATAACCTCAACTTAACTAATTACATATGCAATGACCCTATTTCCAAATAAGGTGACATCCTGAATTTCTGGGTGGATATGAATTTTGGAGGGACACTACAATAATGACCACCAGGAACTATCAATGACCCTGCTATAATTAAACTACCTATGTTTACAAATTCTTTTGTCCATAGAGATACTGGGACCATAGCTTATTCTTTGATAATTTCTTGATTCATAAATGGTGTAGGCATTTAGAAGTCTAGTTTTACTTTAGATATGTGTGAGAAAATTTATAAGAACTTCTAAAATAATCTCTCTGCAATATGCTTTATCTGAAAGTTCCATTTGTAATGTAGCTTCTATCTATTAAATCTATAGAAATTATGTCATGGTAGAGAAATAAGTATTTGTCTAAAAAGGATCCTGAAAAAAGTTACAGATTGAGATTTGGGAAAGAACTTAACAATTGGTAGAAATTTCTATTACTTGAGTAGCTTTAGTAAATAAAGCAAATAAAGTTCATTTGACCTCAAGCTTTTTAAAGCTGATAATTTACCATCAAGCTCAACTTTTTTTTAGTTCCCGCCCCCCCTCCTCCCCCAACACACACACAATGTACCACAGCCAGTCATTTTTACTTCAGGACAGTTTCTCTCTTTCACCTTCTCTCTCTTTTTATTCTTTAATTACAAGTCAATTAGTCTTCCTTCTTATTTTTCAAGTATCTTTAAAACTTTGCTCTGATGGGCAGTCCTAGTGGGCTTAATGGTAGATATTTTCAGTCATGCAGATAATAAATCTGTAATGTTGTCCATTTATACTTTATTATTGGGAGTAAAGAAAGAATAGGATGTATTGGAATACTAACGCCTTCCTCCTGGTGACAACTTTGGCAGACTTTGTCAGGTTGTCCTTTTACATTTTACCCAAAATTGAACTTTGATTCTTCCCCTGGCTCTTCTGTTTGCAATATGTACACAGGTACTTTATGGAGGGAAGCTTTTGGTTCTTTCATCAAAAAGGACTTAGTTTGTATTGATTTCTAGTCCGTTAACTTTTTAAGGCTCTCAGGAAACATCTACCACCTATCAGATATTTTCTAATTGGTAATTGTACATTTCAATTTTTAACTGTCTCTTAATTCAAATTTGAGCCCATTTATAAAGAGAGTTAGTGTCCCTTTATTTTAGCTCTTGGTCTATTCCAAAATACTGTTTGAAAGCTGTCTAGAATTTATTTGAATTTTTACTTAGTTTATAATTTGAATCTTTGTCCAATTTCCTTTTAAAAGGAGGCTTCTGAAATTTTTTTAATGTTTCAAATTATTATTTTTCTTGCCTTCTCATGGCAATTATTTTTACACACCTGAGTCATTTAAATATTTTTCTCAGCTTTTAAATAGTTTTTCGCACCTGAGGGAAAGACAATTAAATAAAGTAGTTTAGGTTTGTGTCCATGTGTGCTCAATGATTAGCTCCTACTTAAAAGTGAGAATATGCAGTATTTGGTTGTCTGATCCTCTGTTAATTTGCTTAGGATTATGGCCTCCAGCTTTATTTATTTCACTGCAAAGGATATGATTTCATTCTTTTTTATGGCTGCATACTGTTTCATGGTGTATATGTGCCACATTTTCTTTATCTAGTCCACTTCTATGTGTTTGCTATTGTGAATAGTGTGGTGATGAAGATACAAGTGCATTTTTGTTATAATTATCTGTTTTCCTTTGGTTATATGCCAAGGATTGGGATTCCTGGGTCGAATGGTAGCTGTGTTTTTGAGAAATCTCAAAACTGCCTTCCACATGGCTAAACTAATTTACATTCCCACCAACAGTGTATAAGCATCTTCTTCTCTCCCAAGACTTGTCAGCATCTGTTGTTTTTTTGACATTTCAATCATGGCCATTCTGACTGATATGAGATTGTGTCTCATTGTGGTTTTGATTTGCATTTCTCTGATGATCAGTGATGATGTGCATTTTTCATGTGTGTTGCCAGCCTTCATGTGTTTTCTTTTGAGAATTGTCTGTTTATGTCCTTTGCCCATTTTTTTTTCCAGTGGAGTTATTTGATTTTAGCTTGTTGATTTGTTTAAGTTCTTTATGGATTCTGGATATTAGACCTTTGTCAGATGCATAATTTGTGAATGTTTTCTCCCATTCTGTGGATTTCGGATTGTTCATAGTTTCTTTTGCTCTGTAGAAGCTTTTTAGTTTAACTAGACACCACTTGTCAAGTATTGTTTTTGTTGCAATTGTTTTTGGGAACTTACTCAAATATTATTTGCCAAGACTGACGTCAAATTTCCCAGGTTTCCTAGGTTTTCTTTTCAGATTTTTATAGTTTGAGGTCTTACATTTAAATCTTTAATCCATCTTGAGTTAATTTTTGTATATGGCAAAATGTAGGGGTCAGTATCATTCTTCTGCATATGAATGGCCAGTTATCCCAGCACCATTCATTGAATAGGGAGTCCTTTCCTCATTGCTTGTTTTCATTGGTCTTGTTGGAGAGCAGATGGTTGAAGGTTTGTGGTTTTATTTCTGAGTTTTCTGTTCCATTGGTCTGTCTGCCTCATTCTCCCTTGCTGTACTCCAATATGTAGACAGAGATCATTTAAAAAATGCAAATCTTGTTACACCATTTCTTATATACTCTGCTCATAAAACTTTTTTAAAATTACCACTATGAGCTGATGACAATGTCAGTGATAAAATACTCTTCTCCCCAAAAGTATTGTGTTGATCTTATTTCTAAACAATTACAACAATTACTGTTGAGTTTTAATATATTTGTAAGCTTCAAATTAGCACAATTTTGTTGCTTATTCTTTAGTAGACATTGTATTCTACATGTAAGTCAAGTGGGAAAATTCCCTGGATGTACTAATTTCCCCCTATATACATGAACTCTCCTGCTTGGATCTCTTTGAAGAATGAGTTTGTAACAGTTTGGATTTCTTCATGCTATCTTGGGTACAATTTCTGTTTCTACCGTCTGTGGTACTACTACACTATCCTGCATTTCAACAGTAGATGCAAGATAAACTCACGGAATAGTGATTATAGAGATGAAACAATGTGGCTTTACTTTAATTCTGTCATACTGTGTGACCACTTGGAGTTGTATTTATTATTTATTTATTTATTTATTTTTATTATACTTTAAGTTCTAGGGTACATGTGCACAATGTGCAGGTCTGTTACATATGTATACATGTGCCTTGTTGGTGTACTGCACCCATTAACTCATCATTTATATTAGGTATGTCTCCTAATGCTATCCCTCTCCTCTACCCCCTCCCCACAATAGGACCCAGTGTTTGATGCTCCCCTTCCTG